GAGGAGGAGGAGGAGGCCGAGGAGGAGGAGGAGGAGGAGGAGGAGGCCGAGGAGGAGGAGGAGCTTCGCCGCCCTGTGGCTCATGAGGCCGAGCCTCGCGGCCGCACTCCCTCGGCGGCCCGCGGCACTCGGCCGCTCAGCCTCGACGGTGCGGGGCCCCCGCCCCGCCGGGCCCCTCCCGGACCCGGCGCTCGCGGGAGCAGCGAGGTGCCGAGGGGGGGCGCCGTTGCTCCGCGCCGGGCGCCCCCGCGGATCGGTCCCGATGGGCAAATTCTGCACCACCACTGCCGTATGTGGGGCAGGGGAGAAGGGAGGATGGGGAGGTCCTCCTCCTCCTCCTCCTCCTCCTCCTCCTCCTCCTCCTCCTCCTCTTCTTCCTCCCACTGCTGCATCTGGTAACGGTGGCGGTAAATGGGCCCATCAGGTCCGGCCAGGGGCACGGGGCGGCCGAGGAGCCCGGCCAAGATCGCAGGCGACTTCTCTCCCCCAACCCCCGATTGTTGGACGAGAGATAAAAGGTTCTTCGGACGCACCCCAAGTGGGCTATTCGGACGCACCCCTATCGAGGATGGGCGCCCCCCCATCGTATATCTCAGGGTTGGGCCCCAAATTTCTGGTCCTGTCGAAACCTCCCAAAGCCTGGGATAGGGGTCGACAAATCCCCTGTTACAGATTCGTCGCGACGGCCTTCCCCGAGCAGTGCTTGCAGATAGGGGGTCTTATGTTCCAGGCTCCGAGCCTCCGAGATGAGGTCCGAGTAGGTGGGGTCGGAGACTCGCGCCGCATCGCCGGTGCATCGACGATGCGGCTCGATGTGGAGTCCGATTTCGTCCACGCCGACGTCTCCGATGCATCGCTGGCGTCGCGGATGCATCACCGATGCATCGGCGATGCAGTGGCGATGCGGCGCAGTCCTCCGACCCCATCTACTCAGACCCTTTTAGTGGGCTTCTTATACAATCGCTTCGCTCATTCCGCCAGCCCTCGAGCGATCTATGGGGCCTCTTTGAAGCCTCTTGGGGGCCTCTTTGGGGCCTCCTAGGGGCCTCTTGGGGGCCTCTTGGAGGTCTCATTTTAGTGGGTTTCTTATTTTCCCCCACCCAGTGCTTGCAGTGAGGGGACCCGTCCATGACTTCTGAGGGTCTTTCGGTGGGTCTGCCAGGAGCTCGGCTTGGTGCCCGGTCGGTGGGCGCCCGTGGGCGCCTCGTGGGCGCCCCGTGCGTCGGAGGGGCATGACGAGGTTTCGCTTGGTGCCCGCCCGCCCATGGGCGCCGCGTGGGCGCCTTGTGCGCTGAGGGGTATGCCGAGGTTTCGCCTGGTGCCCCGCCAGTGGCCGCCTCGTGCGCCCACGTATATTCGTTGTCTTCCTGAAAAAAGGATGCAGAGTCTATCCCCCCCCCGGAGTTATCGGACCCTCCTGGAACATTGCAAACTCTTCACGCTTCGCGAATCCCCACCAGCCCATTCAGAAACGTTGTCCATGAGAGCTGACGGTTAATGGGAGGAAGAGACACATCTAGTGAGTCGAAGCGGGCAACCATGGTGAATTGAGGATGTGAGGGATGGCGGGGATGAGGAGTAATATATGGATAAACGATGACGAGAGGACGAGAATGAGGGGGGGAGAAGATGGAAGATGAGGAAGAGGAGGACAAGGACGAGGAGGAGGAGGACAATGATGAGGACGACGAGGAGGACGAGGAAAAGGACGAGCACATGAAGGATGACGAGGAGGAGGAGAGCAGGAGGAGGACGAGGAGGACGAAAACAAGGACTCAGACAGCCATCTGGGGGTCTTCTTGACGCCCTCTTGCCTCACTCGTCTGGGGCCTGGATCTGTCCCTGATTCAAGGCCCGAATACCCGTGAGAGAAATGCCACACGTCAGTCGTGCTGAGCTCCCATGCTTCCCATAAGCTGAGAGCTGGCTTGGCGCAGTGGCGTCATCCCGCCACGCCCATTCATCATCGCGAAACCCGATCGGCCGCCCTCGCAGCAGTGCTCTGCTGAGCCCCGCATCGCAGCTGACGCGAACCCGTCAGGCTACGCGCGCTCATCCGTCCCCCCACCCGCACCCTCGCGGTCACCCTGGGCCTCCGTCCTTCTCCCTCCCTTCTCCCCCGCTCCCCCCACGACGACGACGTCGACCACGACGTCGACGACGCTGCCGACGCTGCCGGCGGCGGCGGCGACGACGTCGACCCGCTGGAGGGCCGTGCGCTCGCTCGCCGCCCACGGCGGCTCGCGGAGGCCCCTCGTGGTGCGCGCGCTGCGCTGCGCGCGATGCCCTCGCCGCGACGGGCCGCCCGCTACGCCGTGCTCCTGGCGGCCCTCGCACTGCGGCGGGGCGCCGGGCGGTCGGGAGCTTCGGCGGGGCACCGACCGACCGACCGACCGGACCGACGCCGACCATGGCGACCACGACGACGGCGCCTCCGCCGACGACGACGACGACAGTGACCAGCAGCGGCGACAACGACTGCCACGACGCCAGCGAGGACGACGAGACAGCGACGGCGACGACGTCGACGACGGTGGCGCCGACGCCGACGCCGACGCCGCTACCGACGCCGAGGCCGACGACGACGGCAACAACGAAGACGACGACGACGAAGGCCTTGGCGGGTCGGGCGTTTCGTCGCGGGGGGCGGGCGAAGAATCGAGCGGGCGACAGAGGGGTGCAGGAGAGGGGTCGGGTCAGTTCTGGGTGAAGTTGGCAGTGAAATTCACGGCGGTTCCCATCCTTGCGGCCAGCCATCAGGAAGGGATCTAGGGCGACAAGCTGCCCCTTGGGGAAGGGTTCGAGGCCTTTTTTGTTGATGCCGCGCCCTGGGGGTGGTAGGCCAGTTCTGCTGCACCCTCACGATCCTGAGTCCCTCCAAAACGCAAATTCTGGTAAGCTGATCGCTGGAACCCGTGAAACTGTTGCAAATGTTGCAAACGAATGCGCGCGGTGCTAAGGCGAGAGCCACATTCTGAAAAGGAGCCGTCCTCAATTCGTAAAAAGTTTGAAACGATTGCGCGCGGCGCTAAGGCGAGAGCCACATTTTGAAGAGGATCCGCCCTCAATCCGCAAAACTCTTGCACATTCTTCAGATGACTGTGCGCGGCGCGAAGTCGAGAACCGCATTTTGAAAACGACCCTCCCTCCAGCTGCGAAGCTGCTGCCATGTCTCAAGCTTCGTGGTCATAGTTGGTGAGGAAGTCTCAGGCGAACCGCCCGGACAGCCCTGAAAACTTGCCTTCGGGTGCGACAGGGGGGAGTTATTAGTAAGGAAAAGGACTGGTGCAGAAGACGACGATGACGAGGACGCCGGACGACCCCGAGGCCTTTGGAGGTCTCCGGAGATCTCCGCAGTTCTTTGGGTGCCCCCAGCAGCTACTCGACCTCGGAAAGTGTCCGAAGCACCAAAAAAACGCTTTCTTCGAGCTTCGAACCTCGAGCGACGAGAAGAAGCCCATGAAGGAGGAAGAGGACGACGGCGACGACGACGACGACGATGACGACGACGACGACGACGACGACGACGACGACGAAGGAAAGGCCGAGTGCTTATCAGTCATAGCACGAGCAGTGGAGACCCAGCGTGCGAGAGGCACCTGGCCCACGAGCATTTTGGCACAGTCACCCTCTGTGCAAACCCTTGCCAACACAAGAGATCACCAAGGCCACTGTCGTCACTGAAAAGACCCAGGGCAGGGTACTGGTAAGCTGTGCTCCCGCCACACATCGTGGCCCCCTGAGACCACGGATGTCCCCGTGCCTTCTGGAGGCCCCTGGAGTCCAGCAAAGGGCCGGTGACATTCGATAACTTCCCGACACAACATGGAAGCGGTACCTCCCTTCCCCCTTCGATGCTCGAGGGTGGAAGACAACACTTGGCAACCATCGCCGCTGTAGCGCGGAAGCAGGGCAATCAGAGGGAGGCTTGTGGGCAGGAGCATGGCCGTGGCACTGTGGTTGCAACCGCCTCCTCACCCAGCATAGTCCGAAAATGACCTAACGGTGCTGTACGAAACGGCGTGGTAGATTTCGGCATTGTAGGTGGGACTGGTCTGCTCCGTAGCCAAATCGCTTGTGTGAAAGCGTGCTCCTTGTTTTTCTACATTTCGCTGTGTCGTTGTCTCTCGGCACATCTGCACTTTAAGATGCAGGAAGGTGTGGTACTTGATGTCTGACCATTTGTTCTGCGCGAGCTCGGTGTCGCCAAAACCAGCATCCCAATATCACCGTTAACCAAGATCGCCGTCAGCGCGGCCTTTGATAGTGGACATCATTCTGGGAAGGCTCTCGATCGCAAGACGTCCAACAAGCGATGCACATTATGCAAGGGCGCCCTCGAGGGCGCGAAGTCATTCGCGCTTCGCGGCTCGGCTCCTCCTCCTCCTCCTCCTCCTCCTCCTCCTCCTCCTCCTCCTCCTCCTCTTCTCCCCTGGCAGGCGGCGCGAGAGCGCGAAGGCGGTATCCGCGCCTCGCGCTGCGCGCAGCGCGAAGCCAGGCGCCCCTGGTTATTTCGGGTAAGGCCCTCGATCGCGGGACGTCCGGCAGGCGCCGCACCTCGTGCTTCGAGCGAAGGCCCGCAGGGATCGCCACGAGCCTCGCTCAGGAGGGGCAAAAAGACACAGAGACACAATGAATCGTCGATTCCCCAAGAAAATAAAGAAAAAATATGGGAAAATTGGGCGGGAAGACGCAGACCCCGAAAATGTTGGAAAATATACGGGGGATCTTTTCATTTGTGTGTGTATCTATTTGTGTGCCCCAGGGCCACTTCAGGGACTTGGCATCGCTCGGACGTGTGTATTCTTTCCTCGGCGAGGACCATCGAGGAGCATCCTCGATCACTTGGCGAGAAAAAAACCACGCACGAAACCGAACAAAAACCACAGGGCATGGACGTCCGAGCGATGGCGAGGGGATCGCAGCGAGCACCGCGCCCCGCGCGCCACGGCCCGGGGCGGAGCGGGCGCCCCTCTCCACGGCGAGGGCGCCCCCCCCCCCCCCCCGGGCGCGCGAGGGGCGCGACGGTGGCCGCGCGCCGCGCACCGCGGGGCGGGCGCGACGCGCGAAGTGCGGTGGATCCCCGGGAAGCGGAACGGACCCTCCCTCCTCGCTCCTCCTCGTCTCCCTCCTCGCTCCTCCTCGTCCCCCTCCTCGCTCCTCCTCGCTCCTCCTCCCTCCTCCTCCTCCTCCCTCCTCCTCCTCCTCCTCCTCCTCCTCCTCCTCCTCCTCCTCCTCCCTCCTCCTCCTCCTCCTCCCTCCTCCTCCTCCTCCTCCTCCTCCTCCTCCTCCTCCTCCTCCTCCTCCTCCTCCTCCTCCGCCCAGCGGTGTATACATATAACGGCGCACCGGGTCCGGGGGCCCGGGGCCGGGACCTCGACCGCAAATGTGCACCCCGGGGGCCCCGGAGGCTCGTCGGGGCTTGCCGGAGGCCTCCCCGGTCAGACAAGACGGCCCCAGAAGCGCCCAAGACGGCCCAAGAAACTTCCAAGAGGCCTCCAAGAGGGCTCCGAGATGCTGAAGATGGCCTCCAGACGTCCAAGGACGCCCCCAAGAGGCCCCAAGAAGCCTCCAACATGCGTCCCAAGAGGGCCCCTAGACGCAAAAATTGGCCCATTCCCTTCGTAAAACGTACATTTTTCACAAAGTTGCCTTTTGGGCTTTCCGACATTACAGGACGGCCCAAGAGGCGCCCAAGACCGCCCCAAGACGGCCCAAGAAGCTCCCAAGAGTGCCCCAGGACAGCCCAAGAGGGCCCCAAGACGGCCCAAGAGGCGCCCAAGATGGCCCAAGAGGGCCCCAAGACGGGCCCAAGAGGGGGCCCAGAGGGGGACCACGAACCGCAAGCTCGAGCCTTCCGCCCCAAGAGGCCGCCAGGAGGCCCCCAGGAGGCCCCTCAAGAGGCCCCAGGAGACCCCAGACGTCCAAGGACGCCCCCAAGAGGCCCAAGAAGCCTCCAACATGCGTCCCAAGAGGGCCCCTAGACGCAATTATCCCGGCAAAGCAACCTAACAGCGATGTGTAGAAGCATATCTGAAAGCATTCCCCTTAAGATTCAGATGAAAATCCAGTTGTCGAATTCTGCTGTTCTCGCAGTCGTAGTCGCATTCGCGATGACAGTCGCAGCGGCAACGGCAGTCGCAGTCACAGCCTCAGCCTCAGCCTGCCTCCTCCTCCTCCTCCTCTTTCTCCTGCTCCTCCTCCTCCTCCTCCTCCTCCTCCTCCTCCTCCTGCTCCTCCTCCTCCTCCTCCTCCTCTTCCTCCTGCTCGTCCTCGTTCTCGTCCTCCTCGTCTTGCTCGTCCTCCTCCTCCTCCTCCTCCTCCTCCTGGTGGTCCTCGTTCTCCTCCTCCTGGTGCTCTCCCCCCCCCTCCTCCTCCTCGTCCTCCTCCTCCTCCTCCTCCTCGTCCTCCTCCTCCTCTTCCTCCTCCTCCTCCTCCTCCTCCTCCTCCTCCTGGTAGTCCTCCCCCTCCCCTCCTCCTCCTCCTCCTCCTCCTCCTCTTCCTGGTCGTCCTCGTTCTCGTCCTCCTCGTCTTGCTCGTCCTCCTCCTCCTGGTGTTCTCTCCTCCTCCTCCTCCTCCTCCTCCTCCTCCTCCTCCTCCTCCTCCTCCTCCTCCTCCTCCTCCTCCTCCTCCTGGTGGTCCTCGTTCTCCTCCTCCTGGTACTCTCCCCCCCCCTCCTCCTCCTCCTCCTCGTCCTCCTCCTCCTCCTCCTCCTCCTCCTCCTCCTCCTCCTCCTCCTCCTCCTCCTCCTCCTGGTACTCCTCCCCCTCCCCTCCTCCTCCTCCTCCTCCTCTTCCTGGTCGTCCTCCTCCTCCTGGTCGTCCTCCTCCTCCTGCTCGTCCTCCTCCTCCTCCTGCTCGTCCTTCTTCTCCTGCTCCTCCTGCTCCTCGTCCTGCTCCTGCTCGTCCTCGTCCTCCTGGTCTTGCTCGTCCTCCTCCTCGTCGTGCTCTTGCCCCTGCTGAAAATGTGGCCCAGGAATGGGAGTTCTGGGAAGTCGAAGAGCACGAAGTTGCCTACAGTTGGCTACGGGCATTCAAAATGTGGCCCGGGAATGGAGTTCTGGGAACTCGAAGAGCACGAAGTGGCCTACAGTTGGCTCCGGGCATTCAAAATGTGGCCCGGGAATGGAGTTCTGGGAACTCGAAGAGCACGAAGTGGCCTACAGTTGGCTCCGGGCATTCAAAATGTGGCCCGGGAATGGAATTCTGGGAACTCGAAGAGCACGAAGTGTGTGACTGTTGCATCCGGTTATTCTAAATGTGGCCCGGGAATGGCGTTCTGGGATGTCGATGAGCACGAAGTGTGTGACTGTTGCATCCGGTTATTCAGAATGTGGCCCGGGAATGGCGTTCTGGGATCTCGAAGAGCACTTTGTGTGTGACTGTTGCATCCGGGTATTCAGAATGTGGCCTGGGAATGGAGTTCTGGGAAGGCGAAGAGCACGAAGTGTGTGACTGTTGGTGAAAAACGAGCCCGGCACCCTGCCGCCCGGCAACTCCCCAACACCTGCCCGGACCCCCCTGTGGAGTGATCTGTGAGCTCTTTTGAGTCAACTAGAAACCTATCAGTCTTCGCTGTTAGGTAAAAATTGGCCCATTCCCTTCGTAAAACGTACATTTTTAACAAAGTAGCCTTTTGGGCTTTCCGACGTTACAGGACGGCCCAAGAGGCGCCCAAGACCGCCCCAAGACCGCCCAAGAAGTTTCCCAGAGGGCCCCAGGACAGCCCAAGAGGGCCCCAAGACGGCCCAAGAGGCGCCCAAGATGGCCCAAGAGGGCCCCAAGACGGGCCCAAGAGGGGGCCCAGAGGGGGACCACGAACCGCAAGCTCGAGCCTTCCGCCCCAAGAGGCCGCCAGGAGGCCCCCAGGAGGCCCCTCAAGAGGCCCCAGGAGACCCCAGACGTCCAAGGACGCCCCCAAGAGGCCCCAAGAAGCCTCCAACATGCGTCCCAAGAGGGCCCCTAGACGCAAAAAATTGCCCATTCCCTTCGTAAAACGTACATTGTTCAACAAAGTTGTCTTTTGGGCTTTCCGACGTTACAGGACGGCCCAAGAGGCGCCCAAGACCGCCCCAAGACGGCCCAAGAAGCTTCCAAGAGGGCCCCAGGACAGCCCAAGAGGGCCCCAAGACGGCCCAAGAGGCGCCCAAGATGGCCCAAGAGGGCCCCAAGACGGGCCCAAGAGGGGGCCCAGAGGGAACCCCACGTGGGCCCAAGGAGGCCCAAGAGGGACCCAAGAGAGCCCCAAGAGAGCCCCAACATCGGTCACGCGGAAGAGCTCTCGCGTGACCGATGTTGGGCCCCTCTGTGGGCTCCTCTTGGAGCTCCGAGAGGAGCCAAAGATGGCCCCACGAGGGCCCCGACGAGACCCCAAGAGGACCCAAGCAGGCCCAAGAGGGACCCAAGAGAGCCCCAGCATAGGTCACGCGGAAGAGCCCTCGCGTGACCGATGTTGAGCCCCTCTTTGGGCTCCTCTTGGAGCTCCAAGAGGGGCCCAAGATGGCCCCACGAGGGCCCCGAGGGAGCCCCACGTGGGCCCAAGGAGGCCCAAGGAACCCCAAGATGGCCCCAACATCGGTCACGCGGAAGAGCTCTCGCGTGACCGATGTTGGGCCCCCTCTTTGGGCTCCTCTTGGTGCTCCGAGAGGAGCCCAAGATGGCCCCACGAGGGCCCCGTCGAGACCCCAAGAGGGCCCAAGGAGGCCCAATAGGGCCCCAAGAGGGCCCCAACATCGGTCACGCGAAAGAGCTCTCGCGTGACCGATGTTGGGCCCCTCTGTGGGCTCCTCTTGGAGCTCCGAGAGGAGCCCAAGGTGGCCCCACGAGGGCCCCGACGAGCCCCAAGAGAGCCCAAGAGGGCCCCAAGAGCGCCCCAACATCTCCTCTCCTTCCTCCTCCTCCCTCCTCTGCATCTTCCTCCTCCTCCTCCTTCTCATCCTCCTCCTCCTCCTCCTCCTCCTTCTCCTCTCCAGGGGAATGAAAACCAGAGGATAGCTCACGGAGAGCCCAAGCACCCTCTTGTTGCATCCATCTTGGCTTCCAGATGGAGCCCAAGAAGGCCCCAAGGAGGCCCCTCAAGAGGCCCCAGGAGACCCCAGACGTCCAAGGACGCCCCCAAGACGCTTCGCGTCACCAATTTCTTCTCGCAACGATTCCTGGGTCTGTGACTCGACAGAACCTAAGCGCGCGCGAAGCGCGCGCGTGGTTCTAGTATATGAATACGGCGCCTCAGTCCGCGAGGCCTGGCGTCGAGAGGAAAACGCTCGCGCAGCGCACACTCTCGAAACCCACGAGAGCTCATGCACACGTACTTCTGCCTTCGGCGCGACGAGCGAAGTTCGAGGCGGCGAACAGACCCAGAGATCCGACGATAGGGGGACAAACAACGACATGAGCATAAGAACTCGGAGGTCCGCGCGGATTTCTCGGATCGGCGCTGGACCCCCTCCCTGGCGCGCGGAGCGCGCCAGGGGCGGCGCCGGGGGCGCCGCCAAGGGGGTCGGGGCAGGTTTCGGCCTCTGGGGGCCTCGGGAGCGTCAAAGAACGACTCGGGACGAAGAGCGGGACCCGGGGAAGTGGTCCGGACCTCCGGGGCCCACGCAGATTTGGAGCTGCCGGATGTCTGGGCACAGGGGGAGGGGGCCGGCGCAGGGCCGGCGCGGCCAGCGTCTCCATCGGCGGCGACGGCCTCACCTCGCAGGCCCGGCTCGCGCTCGCCAAGGGGGGGGGGGGGGAAGGCTGGATTCCCGAGTTTGCTCCGCGGAGTGGCCACCCCGCTAATTCCCTCTCCTCCGCCTCCTCCTGCCTCTTCCTCCTCCCTCGCCTCCTCGATCCTTCCGTAGCCATGTCGGCTCAAGACTCCAGCGGCCCCTGGGCAGGAAGCGGAGACCTCTGATCCGAGGCAGCCTCGCAGGTGAATCGATTCCTTGCCACTGCTGCAGGCAAGTTCCGGATGGAGGCGCTCACCGATTGTCAAGCTCAGGCGCTTGCTGCTACACCCAGGGTCCCTTCTCAGGGAATCTCTGAAGGCAAGGGTAAAGGTGTTGATCGTTCTGGTTCTCGTCGCAAGCGTCACTGTGCTGATGGGTTTCCTGGTGCCGAGGGTGACGGGGATGTCGACCTCGATGACTTCGTCTTTGATGAGTATCTACGGCAAGTGTGCCGCGAGGAGTTCGTCATTCTCAAAACAGAGTTCACACGTGAGATTAGTAAGGGCGTTGGTGGGAAAGTGGCGGAGAAAAACAAGATGGTGCCTGAGTCTCTCGACCTTATCCGTGGACAGGTGGTTGCTCAGTCCGAGGGTGTGAACCAGGAGATCATGGCTGCGCGCCGTCGTCAGCCCAACGAATTCGGCCGGCGGTATCAGGGTCAGTTGGGCCCTCAGACCCGCTGCGTCGATGAGCACGCTCGCCGACTGGACTCCAACGCTTCTGAGCTTGAGCACATCCGCGAACAGCTCGACGAGATCAAGTCCATCGTGGCTGCTGCTGAAGAGCGCCCTCTCAGAGGCGGGCTGCGGCCACCGCTGTTCAGTCCACACTGGGTAAGTGGCTGGCTGGTTTGGGCTTCGCCGACCAGGAGCACAATTCCGAGCTGCAGGGCCAGTCTCATGGGAGGCGGCGCCTGGTCAAGTCCAGCGCCATGCTGAGACCCGCCGCGAGGAGTGCAGCATGCGCTTTCCAGTCTCGGGGAGGGCACGGTGTGGAAAGAGTTCTGGGTTGATGTGGCTGGTGTTCCGCAGTGTCGCCTCCACCTCGGTCCCGACAGGAACCAACTCCAGATCAAGCAAGAAATTACGATGCGTCGTTGACATCCGGCGATCGATGAAGAATGCGAAGCACAACTCAAGCTGTTGTCAGATCGTGAGCGCGGTGTGTTGTCGATCGGGCGGGGCAAGGTTTTCCAGGATGAAGTGGCACACGCTGGCACCCCTCCGAAGCTCCTGTTAGTCTCGGGTAAGCTCACGAAGCACGGCCTCGCCATAGGAGGCAAAGTGGTGCGTTGGACGCGCAGTATGTTGTCGAATGCACCTGTCCTAGATCTGGGGCATCGCCCCCGCCCTTCCGTTTCGCTACATCGGACTTTCGCGCGTTGTCTCAGGCTGCCGGGGGAAAGCTAGCCTGATGATGGACTAAATTGCTCGTTTGTGTCCGCGTGATGGTGTCATATCTCTACAAGGAGAGGCGCATCAGGATGAGGTCCAGCTGGCCTCTTTCACGCGCCTCGTGCGCCCTATTTCAATGATGGTCACGAGCTTATGTGGGGAAGCTCGTGTGGGTCGTGTCATACGCGGGATGGCCGTTCTACTTCCGAAGCTCTTAGTGGTGACTGCGACTCTCGCGACTGTGCCACAAGTCGTCTCGAGCGTTTCAGTTTTTGGTTCAGTCAAGCTCCTCGATACTCTCATTCTTCAACGCACATACAGTAACCATGACCTGGCAGCAGGCAAGGTGAAGCTCGTAATTGCAGCCATCGGCGGTTCGTTGTCGGTCGCAATGCCCACCCTGACTGACCTCCAGCCTGTACCCTTGATCTCATATCTTTCTTTCTCTCTGTCTCTCGCTCTCTCTCTTTCTCTCTCTATCTCTCTCTGTCTCTCTTTCTCTCTCTCTCGCGCTCTCTCCCTCTCTCTCTCTCTCTCTTTCTCCCTCTCTACCACCAGAGTCTCCCACTATGATGGTCGCGATGGCGATGGGATCCCACTGTCTACCTATTATCCGTCGACCGACATATCGGTGAATCTCTCTGTCGACATCACTATTGACCTCAAAAGCAACATGAGAAAGCCCGCCGCAGGCGCCGAAAAACTATTTGTTGTCGGACAACCACAAGACAATCATCGGCACAACCACCAGACAGCCATCAGGACAATCACAAGACAACAACGAGACAACCATTGCATACTAGGTAATCTCTGTCTCTCTCTCTCTCTCTCTCTTTCTCTCGCTTTCTCTCTCTCTCTCTCTCTCCCTCAGTCTCCCCCTCCACCACAATGATGGCAGTGACGATGGGTGATGGGTGCGGCGGTGCTGACAGCAGCGATGGCGGTGGCAACTATGATTCATACATGTTTGTCGCGCCCCACTTGAGTCACCACGGCGGCGGGGAGCTTGATAGATTGCCCCTCAGCGTGTTCTGCGTGTCACTGTGGTCAGCAGCGACTGCCTCGGCGTGCGTCGGAGGCTCGGCGCCCAGCCAGTCACTGGCAGAGCCTGGTGCCACTGTCGCCAGATGATCACTTGCACTTGCAGAGCCTGGTGCCACTGGCGGCACGTTCTGGAGTGCTCCTCCGTGAGCCCAAGTAATGATTATGCCGTTTGCGCACTTGGGTTTGGATTGGATTGGACAAGATGGATCGGATAAGATAAGTTGGCTCGGAGAAGAAAGCCCGCCGCAGGCGCCGAACAAAATGAATCATGAAATTAGCGACATGCGTTAGCGCCGGGACGCCCGGGACACCCGGGACACCCGGGACACCGCCCGGCCCAATTGGGACACCTCCCGGCCACCGGCGGACGGGAAAGGGACTTTCGCTCCTACTGACACCCGGGACACCCAGGACACCGCCCGGCCTATTTGGGACACCTCGCAGCCACGGGCGGACGGGAACGGACTTTCGCTCCTACTTCGGCCGAGCTACAGGAGGATCACGCGCAGCTTCGCTTCGCCCGCACGCACGACACGAACACGAAACCGAAACCGATTTCCCGGTGGGGGGTCTCCGTTTCACTGCGATCTCACCCCCCAATCTCCGATAAAAACACAGGGCTTCGCAACACGGATTTTCCAAAAAAACATGCGCGGTCTTGCGAATTCTTGAGAAAACCGTGGTTTTTCAACATTTACAGAACATACTACCAAACGGGCTTCGCGCGCGAGCATGTCGAAATCGTTCGAACGCCCTCGCGCGCGTGCCGTCGCGAGAACCCCTTGCAACAAATGAGACGAAGTGCACACGCGCCCGTCGTCGCGCGCGCATGCCGAAATCCTTCAAAAACTTCCGGTTCCGGACGGATTTCAAAATCGAGTGTCCAAAAATCACATATAAAACACATGGTTTCTCAACACGGATTTTCAACAAAAGCGTGCGCGTTCTTGCGAATTCTCGCGAAAACCACACGTTTTTCAACATGTTCATCATAACATGTTACCAACAGGGTTTCGCCCGCGCGCATAACGAAATCGTTCGAATGCCCTTGCGCGCGTGCTGGGGTGGCACGATCCGTGTCGAACTAGATCATGCGAGCCCTCTCGCGCGTCTGCCGTGCGCGAGTTTCGAATTCCTTCCTTCCGAAACCTGCATCACCGACGCGAAGGCGCCGTCATAGTCGTCGGCGTGATTGGCATCGGCGCCGTCACTGGCCGTGCCGTCGTCGTTGTCAGCATCATCGCCAGCATCGCTACTATCATCATCGTGTCTCCTGCTGTCGACGTTGCCATGCTATCGCGCCCGCCCAAGCCGCCGACTCGCACTCAAGTGCCCGCAGGGACGTGACGAGCGGTCAGCACCACCGCGGCCGCGTCGGTCGCGCCAAGCTACCTAGCCGCCGCGCGCGCATGCGCGGGCTGGCGCGGCCGCAGAGAAGCACCAGCCAGCGCCAAGCACTCATCGCAATCGCCGCTGGATGAGGTTTGCAGACCAAGTTGCGGGCGGGTGGGTGGGATGTTTGCGCGAGCAGTGGAAAGGTCAACTCATTGCGAACACTTTTGTTGCACCACATAGACACATAGACTGCACCGCAGACACTGCACCACCTAAATTGCACCTCGTGGATAGCACGACATATATTGCCAGAAGCACATTGTCTGGGGCCCACGCTGGTTAACATGTATCTTGTTTTCCCTCGAGAAGATTGTTAGAACCACCCACCAGCAGGTCGAAATGTGTGGAGGGTGGGGAGTCCGGGGGCTCGTCATCGAGAACCAAGGAACCCGCAGCCTTAAAAACACATTGAATACGTAGTATAACTTGATTAGGTCTTCGTTGTTACTTGAGGGATCATCAAATCAGTCCGGGAAGTCTGGTCTGCTACATCTGTTGAAAAGACCCTCTACCCTCCATTAGAAGGCCTCTTGACTTGGGTTTGCTCCCACATGGGTTGGGGGTCCTTGAACTGCTAATCGACGCGAGCACGTCTGGGTGCGCGCCCGCCCGCGGACCTGTCCCCCGCCAGGACGGCGGCGCGCCGACCGGGGGAGAGCCCCAGGCGGCGCAGGCGGCCGCGGCGGTTGGCGCTGCGGGCCTCGTGGGCGCGGAGCCCAGCGGCTGGTGGCGGCGCCGGCGCCGGCCCAGACGGACGACGGACGACGGACAGCCTTCGAACGAAAGGCCCTGAGATCATCGCGTCTCAAGTTTGTCGAGCAGGGCGTTTCCGCTTAATTTCGGGCCCCGGGACCTTCACAGACCGACCCGGCTCGGGAAATGCCACTGGCGTTGTTCTGCAGTGTTTCAATTGAGGTGTTCGCGCCGTCGGCTCTCCAAGGGGGGGGGGGGTTCGAGGTTCGAAGTTTCGTTCTGGGTTCGATCCGGTTTCCTGGGCCCTTTCTCGGACCCTGGGGCAGTCAGAAGCAGATCGCGGGGCGAATCGTATTGGGACGGCGGGTGTGAACAAATCGTATGGGCGGATATGTCATCGCCTGCGACTGCGTCTGGCGCGAGCGTCGGCGCTGTCGTCGGAGGCGTCGGCGGCGTCGCCGGGAGTGCGGCGGCTGGGGGGAGGCCCGCACCCGGCCCGTCGTTTTCCTGTCTGGCTGCCGTGGTCGTTCTCTTTCACGCGGGGCCCGCTCGTTTCAGGACGAGAGCTCGGTCGCGGGTACACAGGGAGAGGACTCCTGCTCAGATGCCCCCATCGAGAGCGGGCCCCGTGCCAAATCGTCTACCAGAAGGTCGGCAGTGGTGGCACCACTGGCCGTGGCCAAAGCACACACACACACAGCGTTGATCGAGCGTCCGTCGGGCACAGAGCAGAGGAGCAAGCATCGCCTGTCAGTCAGGGGGTCGATCGCGGCGCTCGAGAAGCGCATTTTGTCGCTGAAGGATATGAAGGCCGAGGAGGCTCGCATCAGACAGAGCGAGTCCGAGTCGGCTGTCTTGCAGTTCATGTACCTGCACGCGCAGCCTGCCAAGTAAACGGCGCTGAATCAGCGTTCGTACCTGGATCGGGCATCCAAGAGGTTAGAGGTGGCCCAGCCAGAGGAGAACAAAGCTCAGGCCGCGCTTGCCGTGGCTGTCATACATCGTCAAGCTGTCGATCAGGATCTTCGTCAAGCTGCTGCCACGCTCGAGGAGTTCGAGAGCATGGCAGAGGTGGAGGCCAAGAAGGTGGCGTTCGAGGAGCAGTCTGGTCCGTTTTCGCCATTCGCCCCCGTCGTCCATTCGCCCTCCCAGGTCGGTGCTGGTGCGAGTGCCTCACCAGCTCTACCTCAGGTGACGTCGGAGTTGCAGGCTTGCCAAGCGGGCACGGCCGCGAGCGTTTGGCATCAGTCGGCGAGGTGCTCAGGGCCGTGCTGTGCAGTCTTGTGGCGATCAATGCACAGACAGTTGCTTCCAGTGTCAGCGGAGCAGCTGCAACGCCAGAAGAATCGCCAAGTGGCCCCATTCAGGTGGCAAGTCTGGCAAAGGAGGTTTCGCGGTGGCCGTCAAGTCTGGTTCTGCCAGAGTTGCTTGAGATCGGACGTGGCAGAGTGCCATCCCCGAGCAACCGGGACATGTGAAGTTGGTTTGACCTGGCGGAGAGATGGAGCCAGAAGGCCAGCAAGCACACAAAGCTCACTGTCCTCCCGCGAATGGCGCCGAGGCAGTTGCAGAGGACGGTGGCACGCACGTCGACCCGCCCGAGGCGCCCACCCAGCCTGTCGGCGAGACCGCGTCGGGCACGGATGCAGTGTTTCACGAGCCCGAGAGGAGGATCACGATGTGGCTTTCCGGCTGTGGTTCGCATGCCTCATGCCACGTCCTCACGCCAGCCCTCCCTCGGGGCCCGATCGACCCCCGCTGCCGAGGGGGCGCTCCCGCGGCCCATCTTCGCACGCCGATTCTGAGGGGGATCGTCTTTTCAGGCCGTGGCCTGTGGGTCTCTGCAGGCTGCGCTGGGCATCCGCCGAGTTGCCAAGTGCCCCTCGTGCGGACGAGCTTGGCGACGTTGTTGCCGACGGCGCTGCAGGGTCTCGTCTCGGGCCTGGGTGGGCTTCGGCGCCGCCCTCCAGGGCGAGGCCTGAGATGGCCAGCGCCCACCGCTAGCAGGCCCGAGGGAGGAGGGACGTCGTCCTCGCGGGGCACAAGTCTCGGGCCTCGGTGGGCTGAACCTGGGGCTCGTCGGGGTCGGGGTCTTCCGGCCCCGGCCGTCGCGGTTTCTCCGTCTGCGGCACGGAAGAAGGCACGCCGCTGTCCCGGGAGTTCTCTCTGGCGGCACCCTGGATTCCGAATTTGCTCCTCCTCCTCCTCCTCCTCCTCCTCCTCCTCCTCCTCCTCCTCCTCCTCCAGTCTGGTGACTCTGGCCTCTGAGACTATCGCTTCCCAGCGGGCTCCTGCGTGGCTCACTCAATCCGAATGCCGCGCAGGCCGATTGTAAAGAAGCCACGATGCCTGCAGAAAGAGGCGCGCTGAGTGATTCTCTCCAGCCTCATCGTCTCGCCCTAGATCGCACTGCTAAGGTGGCTGAGGCGCTCGCTTCGAGGATTCGCTGGGACCGCGTTCGGGATCGCTCTGGACACCCGCGGAATGAGTTGGGTGGCCGCGCCCATTTCCGCCGGGCGTCCTTTCTTGGATATCCCGGACCATTCCGGGAGTGAAGTTCTTGGGCCTTATTGGTTTGGGTAGCGCGTTGTAGTTTTTTTGAGTCTTCAGAGTTCAAAGTTCAGTTTCCTCCATGCCTCAGCACCGTCCAGACGCTGATCCAGTCGGTGCCCTCAGGTCTCTCTTGCGTATCAATATTTCTACTGACGAGCGCTCGTCAAGTCCGCATGGTGCCACGCTCTGCGCGACGCCACTCCAGATGGTCGTTGCCAACGTTCTCATTTTTTCATCTTAAGGCGTCTGCATGTACTTAAGCTAACAGGGACACCAGGCTTTACACGTCTGGGCGCAATCGTCATCTTTAGGACATGTTCCAGAAGCGGGAACTGTTTCTCATCAGGTCTCTGGAAAGCGTATTACTCAGAGTGGGACTTACAATATTGGTTCTTATCGTGTCATGCACTCGGGGATGCACTGAGGAATGGTGTCCTCCTTGGGTTTCCACGTCTTGCGCCGTCTTGCCTGGCGCCAAGGTCGGCGCCTGTCATTGGGGAGTTCTTTTTAGCCGAGCCTCGTCTGCTCATTGTGGCTACCGGCTTCGAAGAAATATGTCAAGATGGACGCGGTCCAAAGGCCACGCGCCGCGCTGCAAGACCGAGGCCTCTGTTTTGAAGGCCCGGTTGCACAGTGCCAGAGTTTCCTTGCGTCGGTTTCGCCCCCAAGATTCTGAGTTGGTCTGTCTCTTGAGCGCGAATGCTAGAGTTGGGCCTGAGGTGCCTCAGCATGTCGGCAACGTCGCTGCCAGTGCGGAACATGTTCCTGGTGTTGCTTTTTTGTCTTCAGGATTCCCGGAGGGATCTGGATCATTGGGTTCCGTGGGCTTTCCTGGGCTGTGGGCGGGTTTCTGCGAATATGTGGCCCATTCCTGGCGAATCCGACAGCCCTCGGCATCGCATGGATTTCGCCGCCTGGTCCTCTAGGGCTCAGGTCGAGCGGCACAGGGTTCTTGAAGAGGTTGATTTCTTTGAATCTGCGATTACTGTTGTTTCGTCGAACAGTGCTTCTATCTCGATCTTGGATCGCGCCCCTGAGGGCATGTGGGCCAGTTTTCCTGCGAGCAGCGAAGTTGCGCGCCAGCGCGGACTGCGCAAGTTGCGGTGCAACCCTGGCAAGTCCAAAGACCCAAAAGCTCGCGCTCAGTGTCAAGCTCCAGCGTTGGATGTGCTTCCTGTGCCATTCGACACCTCCTCCGTAGAACAACGCCAGGCGATTTCGGACCATTATCGCTCCTCGCTCGAATGTGTGTTTCCCGTTCGCGAATCCGATCGAGCTCGCAAGCCTAAACGACATTGGCTGTCTTGTCAGCCCCCAGAGGTCATGGATGTCAGGGTCGGGCGTGTCCGAGGTTTCCGTCGCCTTGCTCTTCGGTGTCGACGTCTTCGGTTGGCCATCCTCTTCGACGCCTGGGCTGCTCCGCCTAGAGGGGCTTGGTTTCGCTCGCGCTTTGGCCGTCGCCGCAGTGCACTGCGGATACCTCGGCATTTCCACCGAGGAAGGCTTCGCTTCTAGTCAGGCCGTCTCTAAGGCTTTCTACGACGTGGTGAGCCTCGGGTTGCGCCGCACGAGGGGTCGCGTTGGGGTTCCTCCTGCCAGGTCCCTGGGCATGGCGAGGAGGCCGTGCGTTGGTGACTTCGCTGGTCTCCTGTGCGATGGTGGATTGGTATGTTGACAGTCTCGGGTACCTCGTGGGAGTCCTGGATTTGCAACTTTTGGGAGTCTGGTCCTGGGCTGCAGACGTTTGGTTCTGGTCCTCGGAGGTCTGGGCTGAGGTTATTTCTGCGACGGTTAATCACAGCATTATGATCGACGGTGCTGGTCGACGCACTGCGAGTCTGTCGGCGGGCGTGACCGATGCATGGTCCTGGAGGGATTCCAACATTGCGGTTGCCACGCTTCTTGCCATGGGCGCGTGCTTTCGTCGCGAGTAGCCTGCCAGACCATTGCCTTTGTTTCTGGGCAGGGATGGTGACGCTTGGAGCGGCTTCGTTTCGGTGGCCAGTCGGTGGGTGGATCATTTCGGGTTGCACGAGGCAGCTCCCATCATTCCCGCAGAGGGGCGCTCTCGGTTTCAGGCCCTGCCGAGGCTGCCGCCAACAGCTCTACGCGCCGATCACTTGCGAAGATCTGCCGTCGCTCGCTCCAACGAAAACATCACTTGCTCGTGACAAGTCGTCAGCTGCAGGTCCTGGCGGTTTTTTCGGGGCGCGTTGTCTCGGCCTTAGCCGCTGAGATTGCTCTGTGTCACCATCAAGCGGACAGCGGGAATCTGCGACCCCATTCCTTGGAACGGCGGGCTTTACATGAGTCCATTCAAATCGGGTTCGGTTTCGCATGCGCCGCGCTACAGACCCACCCTGGGGTCGTCGCAGTTCAGCGAGCGACATTGCGGCATCACTCGGCTGGAACTTGCCAAATCGTAGCAGGCTCTTGCAGGCGATCGACAGTGCGGAGGTTTCCCAAGCCGCGGCGTTGAGTTTGGCGCGGGAGCTGCGTTTTTCTCAGCAAGTGGCCGCTGCTCGAAATTCTTCTGCGCTGCTACTGCTCATGGGATTTGTTCAAGCATATTGCAAGTGTTGTAGACAGTCAGTTAGGCAGACTCCGCGCGGTGATGCGTCCATGGCCAGCCTTCTGCGCTTCTGCGGGCTACCTGCAGAGGCCATGGAAGAGCCCCAGGGATATGCCCAGGCTAATCCGTCAATCCTTCCGTCTGTTGGTCTCTCCCCTTCAGAGTGCCAAGGTGGCTGGCGCTTATGGCCCCTTCTGGTTTTACGTCCAGGACGCCGCGGCGGTTGCATTTCCTTGGTTGGGCTCTGGTGCCGGACAACAGTAGCGGGATGTGGTTCTCAATGTCGCCATGGCTGCGACGTTGCGCTCAGTCCAGTCTGAGCCGTTACCTCTGGGTATTGTTCTGCGGGTTCCGACGACTGCCCATACGTCTCTGGTTGCCTCGGTGGAGCTCGGGGAATCTGATTGCCTGTATCATTGCATGGACGGGGCCGTTTTCGATGGTGCAGTTTTATGTTTCCCTGTTAGAGTTGAGCAGTTGTCGCCGCTTGCACCGCTCTGAGTTGCCGAGGTGATTGAGGCCGTTACTTCGAGGGGACTGTCGCCTCAACGCCAAGCTCGGCAATTCCACCTCGCCATTTCGAGTTGCTTGGCAGACTCGAGTGCCTCTGGAGACCGCTGTTTTGCAGCTGCGGCGGCGAGGGGCAGATCGCCGCCGAGTCTGCTCGCCGTCGTTCGCAGCCGATCCCTGCCATAGCAGCTGGAGAGTTGAGGCCCCAGCGCCGAGGCGGCAGGGAGTTCTCCTCTCTGGCATGTAAGACTCAGGAGGGGAAAAAGACACAGACACGATTAATCGTCGATTCCCCCGAAAATATGGGGAAATATGGGAAGTGGGTCGGAAGACAAAAACCCAGAAAATATGCGAAAATATGGGGAATCTGTTTATTTGTGTGTATTTATTTGTGTGTCCTGGGGCCCTTTCAAAGGCATGATTTGCAAGATCCCGGTGGATGAAGCTGAGGAGTTTTTTATCAGTGTTGGTTTTCCTTTGGATCCAGATCATGCGGCTCTTGCGTCGGAAGATGCTGCTGCGCCGTCAGCGCCCCGCCCTGTCGAGCACGAGGCGCCCCTCTTCCCATGCCGGACTGGCAACTTCGAAGGGATTGCCAGCGATCCTCAGCCTTTGAAGATCGGGAGGAGGAGATCCGGGGACTTGCAGCTTGCAGGGCCAGCTGGGTGATCAGATTACGACCAGCTCAGTGGAAGGCGGCGCGTTGAACATCGACGTTGCCATCGTCGCTGTTCAGCGGGACCTCGCTCGTGAAGGCTCAATTCTTGAATGGGCGGAACATATTCGTGCTCATCGGGTTATCAACATTTTTTTGGGGGGCGTCGTCGAGACAGAATGAGCAGCTCCGCGTAGGCAACTCGCTCTTGTTCGCTTTGGTTCGCCTGCTGGCTGAACACGTGAGAGCGGGGACGGGGGCCTGGATGAAGAAGCCTGCCCCCGCCACCTGGGCCCCTAAGGACCCCGCTGCGTTCCGCTATGGCCCTGGCCGCTGCCCCTGACAGTAGAACATTTGTGTTCGACCAATGTGAGGATCAGGATCCCTCGGCCGAGTTGCAGGCCCACGGCAGGCCCCCGACTTGCCCTGTGTCTGAGCGTGCGCCGTCGCTCCACAGCCGCCTCGTGAGCACCCCCCCGGGGTGGCCGCTGCTCTCGCGGGAAGGGGGCTCATCAGCGCCTCCTCGAAAAGAATGCTAAGGATATGTGTCGCACGGCTTCCAAGACATCTCATCCTGCCAAGATGTGCGCCGCCATTGCGGGTCGAATGTGCGACAGCATGTCCAGTCTGATCCCACAGGTCAGGTCTCAAGATGCGCCTTTCGTGCAGGATGCTCCCGAGGTTACGTAGGATGGGCTTGCTGATTTCTTTGTGTCGTGGACTGCTGCTGGCGATGAGCAGTATCAGGTCGCACTTGATTGCGTCGGCCGCCGTAGGTCTGGTCAGATTTCCAGGGTTGGTCCCGAGCACGTCCAGTTCGAGGAGTGCGAATACGATTGCGACGGCAGCCTTGTCTGTGTTCTGCCGCTCGGCCATGTTTCAGACGTGCCTCTTGATGTTGAGGCCCTCGAAGAACAGGCCGTTCTGGAGCGGGCCCTCGAGAGGCCAGACTGGGATGTCGGTTCTCCTCCCTCTCCCTTCTTCCCTGCTTCGCCGTGCCCTCCCTCCCTCCCCCCCTCCGCCCCCCGCCCCTCGCCGACGCCGGGCGAGCCCGCACCGCTGCCAGCAGGGACGCGGCGCAGGCCCTGCGCGCAGCTCGGCGAGCCGCCGAGGCCGCCGAGGCCGCGCCGTCTCGGCCTCTCTGGCGGGGCCCCCTCCCTGCCGGCCCCTCTCGTGGGGGGAGAGGGTCGGCTTGCTGAGCGGTGGCGAGGCGCAGGCTTGCCGCTGCCTTTTCCGCAGGTCGTGGCCCTGCCTGTGCTGCTTCTCCGGCTCCACCGTCTTCCTCCGGTTGGGACGAGAGCTTGGTTGATGGCCGATGCGAGCACAGGGTTGACCCTCACGCCATCGTTCGACGACGACCTCCTTCCTCCTTCTTCCTCGTCTCCCTCCCGCCCCACCCCCCCTCCCCCGCGTCCTGCGGCTCTGGGGCGAGCGCGCCGAGGGCGCGCGCCAACGAAGAACCAGAGGCCCCACAGCCAGAGGCCGAGATCGAGGAGACACACATTGGCATTGCAAGCATCCGATCGTCGGTCGGAGTTCGGGGCGGGGTGGGGCCGCCGGGCCGCGCCAGAGCACCGCTTCGAGGTCGCGCGGGCGCCGGCGAGGACGCCCACGACGACCCAGTGGCGTCTGAGGACGAGGCGCGCCACCGCCCGCCACGACGATGACGACGGCGACGATGACGACGACGACGACGACGACGACGACGACGACGACGACGACGACGACGGCGGCGGCGGCGGAGGCGGCGACGGCGACGACGGCGGCGGTGCTGTCTGCAACCGCCTGGAGGCCAAATTCTAAGATACAGAGCTATTTGAAACATCATACTGTTGGAGAGTTGTGAGCGTGTGCTTGCTAGGCTGCTAGGTGCTTCTCCTCCGCCCTTCCTCGCTCCCTGCCTCCCTCCCTCCCTCCCTCCTCGCGACAGCTGGTGCTCGTGCAGGAGTCGGCAAGCGTGGACGCCACCGCCGAGGCTTGGGAGATGTAGGAGGAGGGGGAATGAGGAGGATGAGAATGGGTGCGAGGACCATCAGGTGGAGGTGGGGGGGAGGAGGAGGAGGACGAGGAGGAGGAGGACGAGCAGGAGGAGGAGGAGGAGGAGGAGGAGGAGGAGGATGAGGAGGAGGACGAGGAGGACGAGGAGAAGGACGAGGAGGAGGAGGAGGAGGAGGAGGCGGAGGAGGAGACAGGAGGAGGAGGAGGAGGAGGAGGAGGAGGAGGAGGAGAGGAGGAGGAGGGGAGAGGAGGAGGAGGAGGCGGAGGAGGAGGAGGAGGAGGAGGAGGAGAGGAGGGCGGAGGAGGAGGAGGAGGAGGAGGGAGGAGGAGCAGGGAGGAGGAGGAGGAGCAGGAGGAGGAGGAGGAGGAGGAGGAGAAGGAGGAGCAGGAGCAGCAGGGGGAGGAGGAGGAGGAGGAGGAGAGGAGGAGGAGGAGGAGGAGGAGGAGGAGGAGGAGGAGGAGGAGGAGGAGGAGGAGGAGGAGGAGAGTTGGAGGAGGAGGAGGAGGAGGCGGAGGAGGAGGAGGAGGAGGAGGAGGAGGAGGAGGAGGAGGAGGAGGAGGAGGAGGAGGAGGAGGAGGGAGGAGGAGGAGCGGAGGAGGAGGAGGAGGAGGAGGAGAGGAGGAGGAGGAGGAGGAGGAGGAGGAGGAGGAGAGGGGGAGGAGGAGGAGGAGCTGGAGGAGGAGGAGGAGGAGGAGGAGGAGGAGGAGGAGGAGGAGGAGGAGGAGGAGGAGGAGGAGGAGGAGGAGGAGGAGAGGGAGGAGTACGAGGAGGAGGAGAGGAGGAGGAGGAGGAGAAGGAGGAGAAGGAGAAGGAGGAGGAGAAGGAGAAGGAGAAGGAGGAGGAGGAGGAGGAGGAGGAGGAGGAGGAGGAGAAGGAGTCCCACTTTAATTGCATAGTTTGCTGGAGCTTGTCTTGAGAACGCACGTCGTCCTAACCCCCGGCGCGCCAGGGAAGGGGCTCGCCAACCGCCCCCCCTGTTCCGTTTCCGCGAAATCTGGAAATCCGCCCCCCCGAGCCTTCCCAAGGAGGCCCTCACAGGGCCCCCTGTTCCGTTTCCGGGACGTCAGGGACATCCGGCGACGAATCCACACTGGCAAATTGGTGCTCCTCGCATAGGGGACATCTTCAGAAAACCGGTCCCCCGAGTCTCCCCAAGTTAAAGAGACCCTAAGAGGGCCCCCCGTTCCGTTTCGAGGAAATCCGGGAAATCTTGCGACGAATTCCAAACTGACCCTCGTGCGGTCATCCTCAGGAAACTCGGTCCCCGAGCCTCCCCAAGGAGGCCCTCAGAGGCTCCCTTGTTCCATCTCTGGGAAATCCATGAGATCTGGCGACGAATTCCAAACTGGCGCCTTCGCGTGGGACGTCCTCCCAAAATACGAGTCTCCTCAAGGAGGTCCTCAGACGCGCGTTGGTGGGGCGCGCCAGGGCGCACAGGGCATGTCCCAGCCTAGGGCTCTTGCTCGAGACATCCTCCCACAGTCGACCACCAGCGCGCGAGAACGTCAGGGCCCCACATCTGCCGGCGCGCGCCGGGGCGCACCGCGCGTGTCCCAGTCCTGGGCTCTCGTTCGAGACATCCTCGCAAAGTCGAGCCCTGGCGCGCGAGAAAGTCCAGCCCCACCGCGCCCTGGGACCATTTCCAGGGATCCGCCAGCGCTTGCCGGAGGGCGCCAGGGCGCACCGGCGTGTCCCAGTGAGCTTTCGCTCGAGACAGCAGGGGGACGAGGAGGAGGAGGAGGAGGAGGAGGAGGAGGAGGAGGAGCAGGATGAGCGGGGGGAGACGGGCGGAGGAGGAGGAGAAGGAGGAGGAGAGTTGGAGGAGGTGGAGGAGGAGGAGGAGGAGGAAGAGGTGAGTTGGAGGATGTGGAGGAGGATTAGGAATGACGTTCAGGGACCTCACGGTTTTTTTGGTGGGTGTGGAGGAGAAGGTGGAGGTTGTCAGCATGGAAGCGGGAGGGGCTGAATGCCACCGCCTCCCGCTGATTCCCCTCTCGCTCACAAGCACACGCCCCCCTTTCGGTCAGGTATCTATGTATAGCGTGTATTGGGGAAAATGTCTATACACGCTAAGTGTCTTACACTTAGCGTGGAACCTAGTTCGCCTCACTTAGCGTGTTTTGGGAAGGCTGTGGACGTCCTTGGGAAGGAAGGCTGTGGTGAGGAAGAGGTGGAATTGAAATTTGGCACATTCCTCATCGACCACTCCGTCCGAAGGCCACTATCTAGTGGCCTTCGGCCCATCCGCCACCGTGCCTGAGTGATGGGTCGGAGAAGCCTCACGGGTGTTGGTTGAGATCTCGTGGTTCGCCTCCTGGGGCCTCTAGGGGGCCGTCTTGGGGCCACCTCCACCTCCTCCTCCTCTTCCTCCTCCGCTTCCTGCGCCTCCTTTTTTCTTTGCCTTCGCGGGCGCCTGCAGGGCGGGCCACCGTGAAAGGCTGACAACCGTCGGAGGTGCGAGACTGGCGTGCAATGTAAGGCAGAGGCGGCCGGCGGCGAATGGGGCCATTTTCGGGCCAGACGAGAGTGGGGGAGCCTCCCTATCCTCCTCCTCTTGGTGCTCCTCCTCCTCCTCCTCCTCCTCCTTCTCCTGCTCCTTCTCCTCCTCCTCTTCCTCCTCTCCCTCCTCCTCCTCCGTCTCCTCCTCCGCCTCCTCCTACCTCCACGGGAGGTGGGAGGGGGGCGCCCTGCGGCCCCATTACCAGGGGGGCCAGAGGGGCCCCTGGCCTCCCCCCGCGCCTTCCCCCCCGCCGCCACCACCCAACCCTGCTCCACCCCGCGCGACCACCGACCCGCCTTTGTCCAGCGCGCGCGGTCGCAGAGCTTGCGCGTCTCCACTTTCTACGCGTGGCGCAATTTGGTGCGAGTTCGGCCGCTCCCGGGCGAACTTCGCGTTGAACGATGCCACAATTGGGCACGCGTTTCCTGCGCCCGCGGTGCACGCGCGCGCATCGCATTCAAACGCGCGCGCGCGCGTTCAAACGCGCCCGCCATGAACGCGACGTCAACAAACGAAACAAACAAGCGGCGCGTTTTTTCTTAAATTGGCCGGGCGCGTAGAAGTTCACAGTTCGCGGTCATCGAAGGATGATCCGCCATAGGAGTCCTTTGTGGAGCTCCGCGAGTGGAGTCCCATGAGCAGCCACCCAGGCGCCATCCCTGTACACGCTAAGCGCGGTGGAAGTGGCGTTCGTTGTTCCGTGGAATAGGATGGGGAGCTGGATTCGTGAGTTGCGCCCCCTGCAGCGCGGCGCTCGTCGCTGATCAAGTTGGGCTTGCACGCGAGAGAGAGAGAGAGAGAGAGAGAGAGAGAGAGAGAGAGAGAGTGAGGGAGACAGAGAGAGAGAGAGAGAGAATAATGATAGAGAGAGAGAGAGAGAGAGAGAGAGAGAGAGAGAGAGAGAGAGAGAGAGAGAGAGAGTATAATGATAGAGAGAGAGAAAGAGCGAGAGAAAGGGAGAAGCGGCGCAGCCGCTTCTCTTTTGGCCACGGCCGGGGCTCATGACAGTTCCGCGCGTCGCGGCCGCCGAGGATCCACCACTGGAGCCCCGCGTGGGACTCCGCTTGTGGGGCCCCAGGGGCCGCTGCCCAGGCGCCATCCTTGTGCGCGCGAAGCGCGGTGGAAGTGGCGTTCGTGGCGGATCTGTTTTTGGTGTGCGTGCGTGCGTGCGCGCGTGTGCGTGCGTGCGTGCGTGCGTGCGTGCGTGCGTGCGTGCGTGCGCGCGCGTGCGTGCGTGGCGTGGTGGGTGTTGGCGGTGGTGGCGGTGGTGGTGGTGGGTGGGCGGGCGGGCGGGGCGGCGCGGCGGTGGCGGGGCGGGGCGGGCGGTGGCGGCGCCGGCGGCCTCCCCGCCACAATCAAAAGAAATGCATCCGCCTTAACCCCCACCATGAAAATAGAGAAAGAGAGAGAGAGAGAGAGAGAGAGAGAGAGAGAGAGAGAGAGAGAGAGAGAGAGAGAGAGAGAGAGAGAGAGAGAGAGAGAGAGAGAGAGAGAGAGAGAGAGAGGGTGAGAGAGAGAGAGAGAGAGAGAGAGAGAGAGATGAGAGAAGACGCGCAGCCGCCTCCCACAATGAAGACCACGCACAAAAAAAGAGAGAAGTGGCGCAGCGTTTTTTTTTGGTTAGAAAATATCAAACAATGGCCCGGGCGCGATTCCACTCGTCGCGGCCATCGCACGAGAATCAGCGATTCGCGCCTCCTTTGGGAGCTCTGGTAGTGGAGTCCCAGGAGCAGCCGCCCAGGCGCCAAGTTGCGTTTGCCATGGATTGGGGGCTTGCTTGGGCGGGGGGGGGGGGGGAGGAATGGAGGGCTGAATGGGCAATTTTTTTCAGCTGCGTCCCCTGCAGCATGGCACTCGTCGATGATCAACGCTGGTTTGCGCGAGGGCGCGCGTGGTCGCAGTGCTCGCGCGTTTGCGATTTTGATAATTTCCAAGCGTGGTGCAATTTGGTGCGAGTTCGGCTGCTCCCGGGCGAAATTCGCGTTGAACGATGCCGCAATTGGGCGCGTGCTTCCTGCGCCCGCGGTGTACGCGCGCGCATTCCAACGCGCTCAATCGCGCCCGCCCATGAACGCGACGCCAACAAACGAAACGAACAAGCGGCGCAGTTTTTTCTTAAATGGGCCAGGCGCGTAGAAAGTCACAGTTCGCGGTCGTCGAACGATGACCCAAACTTGGAGTACCAAGTGGAGCTCCGCGAGTGGAGTCCCATGAGCAGCCACCCAGGCGCCATCCTTGTACACGCTAAGCGCGGTGGAAGTGGCGTTCGTTGTTTCGTGGAATAGGATAGGGAACTGGGCCAGTGAGTTGCGCCTCCTGCAACGCGGCGCTCGTCGATGACCAAGTTGGGCTTGCACGCGCGAAAGAGAGAGAGAGAGAGAGAGAGAGAGAGAGAGAGAGAGAGAGAGAGAGAGAGAGAGAGAGAGAGAGAGAGAGAGAGAGAGAGAGAGATGAGAGAGAGAGAGGAGAGAGAGAG